CACGAGCTTTATCATACCTTGTCTTAAAACTATGTGTAGTTCCTGCCTCCACTACATCGCTAGCCAGACTATTCCACTTCCTAACTACTCTCTGACTGAAGAAATACTTCCTAACATCCCATTGACTCATCTGAGTCTTCAGCTTCCAATTGTGACCCCTTGTTTCTGTGTCCCATCTCTGGAACATCCTGTCTCTGTCCACCTTGTCTATTCCACGCAGTATTTTGTATGTTGTTATCATGTCTCCCCTGACCCTCCTGTCCTCCAGTGTTGTCAGACCGATTTCCCTTAACCTTTCTTCATAGGACATTCCCCTTAGCTCTGGAACTAGCCTTGTTGCAAACCTTTGCATTTTCTCTAATTTCTTGACGTGTTTGACCAGGTGTGGGTTCCAAACTGGTGCTGCGTACTCCAGTATTGGCCTGACGTACACAGTGTATAAAGTCTTGAACGATTCCTTACTGAGGTACCGGAACACTATTCTCAGGTTTGCCAAGCGCCCATATGCCGCAGCAGTTATCTGGTTAATGTGTGCTTCTGGCGATGTACTCGGTATTATACTCACTCCTAGGTCTTTCTCCTTGAGTGAGGTTTGCAGCCTTTGGCCACCTAGCCTATACTCTGTCTGCAGTCTTTTTTGCCCTCCTCCGATCTTCATGACTTTGCATTTGGCGGGGTTAAATTCTAGGAGCCAGTTTCTGGACCACACATCCAGCCTGTCCAGGTCTCTTTGTAGACCTGTCTGGTCCACGTCCGATTTAATTCTCCTCATTAACTTCACATCATCTGCAAACAGGGACACTTCTGAGTCTATCTCTTCCGTCATGTCGTTCACATATACCAAGAATAGCACTGGTCCCAGGACTGACCCCTGTGGGACCCCGCTCGTCACTGGCGCCCACTGTGATACCTCATCACAGACCATGACTCGCTGTTGCCTCCCTGTTAGGTATTCTCTGATCCATTGCAGTGCCCTTCCTGTTATATGTGCCTGTTCCTTTAGCTTCTGTACTAATCTCTTATGAGGAACTGTGTCAAAGGCCTTCTTGCAGTCCAAGAAAATGCAATCAACCCACCCCTCCCTCTCATTTCTTACTTCAGTTACCTTGTCATAAAACTCTAGTAGGATTTGCCTTCCATGAATCCATGCTGGCTGTCGTTTATAATCTTGTTCTGCTCCAGGTGCTCCACCACTCTCCTCCTGATAATCTTTTCCAAGACTTTGCATACTATACATGTGAGTGACACTGGTCTATAATTTAGTGCTTCATTTCAGTCTCCCTTCTTAAAGATGGAGACTACATTTGCCTTCTTCCATACTTCAGGTAGTTGCCCAGTTTCAAGGGATGTGATGAAGATTTTGGTTAGTGGCACACGTAGTGTCCCTGCTCCCTCTCTAAGGACCCACGGAGAGATGTTGTCCGGTCCCACCGCCTTTGAGGTATCAAGGTCACTTAGGAGCTTCTCCACCTCCTCCTCAGTTGTGTGTAATTCATCTAACACTTGTTGGTATATCCCTTGTTGCTGTACGCCACTGTTTTGTCTTCCCGTTAACCCTTCAGCCTCCACTGTAAATACTTCCTGAAATCTCATGTTGAGCTCCTCACATACCTCCTGGTCGTTTCTTGTGAGCTCCCCACCTTCTTTCCTCAGCCTGATTACCTGGTTCTTGACTGTTGTCTTCCTCCTGATGTGGCTGTAGAGTAGTTTCGGGTCAGACTTGACTTTCGATGCTATGTCATTTTCATACTGCCGCTGCGCCTCCCTCCTTATCTGTGCATACTCGTTTCTGGCTCGTCGACTAATCTCTTTATTCTCCTGAGTCCTTTGCCTTCTGTACTTTTTCCATTCTTTAGAGCACTTAGTTTTTGCCTCCCTGCACCTTCGGGTAAACCAAGGGCTCGTTCTGTCATTCTCATTATTTCTGTTACCCTTGGGAACAAACCTTTCCTCTGCCTCCTTGCATTTTGTTGTTACAAAGTCCATCCTTTCATTTACTGATTTTCCTACCAACTCCTGTCCCCACTGAACCTCCTGCAGGAAGGTCCTCATTCCTGTGTAGTCCCCCTTTTATAGTTTAGCTTTTCCCTTTCTACTCCTGTTACCCTCTCCACTTTTAGCTCAACGATGTATTCAGAGCTCATAACTACGCAGTCACTAGCTCCAAGGGGCCTTTCATACGTGATGTGCTCAATGTCTGAGCTACTCAGGGTGAACACGAGGTCCAGTCTTGCTGGTTCATCCTCCCCTCTCTGGTAGTATCCCTAACATGTTGGTGCACGAGATTTGCCAGCACCACATCCATCATCTTTGCTCTCCATTTTTCGGGACCCCCATGTGGCTCCAGGTTTTCCCAATCAATCTCCCTGTGATTGAAGTCGCCCATGTGTGTGTGTGTGAGAGAGAGAGAGAGAGATAATATATATCTGTCTTGTTATGATACAACTGTAATAATGTTGGCATTTCTGGTAATATTTCAATTGAAATACTGCACCTCAGATTTTTTGTATGTGAGAAAAAAAAATTAGTTACTGTATTGTAAGTGATGATTATTATTAAAATATTGACTCTGCCAAAAGGAGAACATGAGTTAGTCTGAGGCCTTTTTAAACATTGAAGAAACCCAGTCAAGGAAATGAAGATGACACTGAACTTGTCAATTGTTCAGTGGACACACACTGGGTATAGAATTGTCTAGAATTGATTCCAGTTTATGCTGTCTTGTGTATGCTTGCCTTGTAGACCCCATTTGAAGACCTGGGCTATGTTGTTATTATATGTCTTGTGTGTTGCAGTTTGAGTTATTGCAGTGCTTATGTTTGGGATTCTAGGAGTGTATCTCATTGTTTCCTCCTGTGTTACATCTAGTCTACAACAACCATACTTTGTGTATTATGACAATCTACAGTATCCATACTTTGTATATTATGACATAGTATACAGCAACTATACTTTGTATATTATGACATAGTATACAGCAACTATACTTTGTATATTATGACATGGTATACAGCAACCATACTTTATGTATTGTGACATAGAATACAGTAACCATACTTTGTGTATTATGATATAGTATACAGCAACCCATCTGTACTTCTTAGGGTTATATCTAGCATGCCGCTAACCCATAATTTATTTTCTCACTGATTTTTTTCCCTTCAAGAATGTGCTTGCAAAATTGTGAATATTGAACACTGTACATTACCATACTGTATATCTGCATTAACTTTATGGCTTTTTTTTATTAGTATTACTATTATTATTTTTTTAATACTTTGGGCATTCCCAATGAGTCAGGGTGACCCTTATTATTATTATTATTTTTTAACATGCTGGCTGTCTCCCACCAAGGCATGGTGACCCGAAAAAGAAAGACACTTTCACCATCATTCACACACAATCACTGTCTTTGCAGAGTTACACAGATATGACAGCTCAGATGTCACTCCAAACAGCCAATATCCCAAGTCTCCTCCTTTAAAGTGCAGGCATTGTACTTCCCACCTCTAGGACTCAGGCCCAGCTAACCAGTTTCCCTGAATCCCTTCACAAAATGTTACCCTGTTGTTTTCACTTTTGTTAGTTGCAACTGCCTTACAATTTTGAAATGCCACTTGACAGCTTTGATCATGTTATAAATTGTTATGAGTCGTCGTCATCTTTCAACACACCTGCCGTATCCCACCGAGGCAAGGTGGCCCAAAAAGAAAAACAAAAGTTTCTCTTTTTAACTTTAGTAATGTATACAGGAGAAAGGGGTTACTAGCTCCTTGCTCCTGCCATTTCATCTATATATTCCTCTTTTTTTAGCAAGATGTATATCTGAACAAAGAGGGGTGATCAACAGAGGGATAAACATTCACCATTACTCATTTTTTAGCTGTATTTCCAGAAGTGCATGTTGTTCTAAAAGTTATAAAATTTCAAATCTTATGGCATAATCTTTCCTTAGTAAGCTGTGTGTGTTGTAAGAGGCAACTAAAATACCGAGAGCAAAGGACTAGTAACACCTTCTGTATAAATTGTTCAATATTAAGAGAAGATAAACTTCATAGTTTTTTCTTTTTCGGGTCATCCTGCTTTGGTGGTAGTCGGCTGGTATGATGGGAAAAAATTTGCGGCAACCGCCCAGGGATGTCTACCATCTGCCAAGTGGTGGTAAAACAGAACCTGTAATTTTTTAACACGATTGGTAGATTGCTGAGTGTTTTTGTTTTTTTTTAGTCTCATGAACATGCAAAGTTACAGGTATAGTCTTGTAGTCTGCTTAGACAGGCACACCTCACATACATACTATTGCAATAGTGTAAAACACACGCCCCTGGGTTTTCTTACTCATTTTTTACAGTTCTTGTTTTTGTTTTTTTCCTCTTACCATGAATGGAAGCAGGAATCTTCCTCGTAGCTCATGCGTGTGTCAGAGCGACTAAAATGCCAGGAGCTAGGGTATTAACCCCTTTTTCTGTATATATTACTAAATGTATAAAGGAAAACTTTTGTTTTTTCCTTTACCCCATGGGTGGGAATCCTGGCCGGTGTGTTGAAGAAGGCGTTTTATATGAAATTCTTTTACCCTATCCATGTATCTTCACTAAAGAAAGGGACATTGTCCCTGAGTTTGTGCCACCAGATTGGCCCGTGTGTTAGAGAACGTCAAAGAATTTGCTCCATGCTGCCATTTAGAAAAATTCGAACATTTCCATATTGTTTGCCCCGGTTGACTGGAGCTATCTATTGTGACACTTTTTTGCAAGCTCTTGTCTTTTTAATGTTATATAATTATTGTAACATTTCGTTACCCAATATGTTGTCAAAAATCTGCAGCTAGGCATTTCCTTATGCTACTCTAAATCTGCACCATCTGCATGATAAAAAAAAATTTAGCCCCTATATATTATCATCTCATCCTTCCCATTTGCATTTTTAAGAATTTTTTGTATACAAAAGATTTTTTTTTATTATTCCAAATTCTGAAGATATTAAATTTTACGATCCAGGATCCGAGGCAATCTGAGCTTCGCCTGAGACCTATGACAGATAAAGATCGAGACCAGCTGAATCATCTGGCTGACTTGTATTCTCTGACCATCCGTAGCAGTGATGACCAAACTGGTCCAATACTCGCCAAGACCAGGTGTGTGGCTCAGCGTAGGAGTTCCACACGGTAAATATTAGGCCATAGATGCATTATGTTTCATGTCTTTCATAAGATCAGTAGCATAGTGTGTCAAGCATTTAATGTGGGTGTGCAGCAATAAGAGACCACTTACAAAAGTGTTAGCAGATGAGCATTAATATTTAGAGGTTTTGTTGGAGAGTTCAAGGAATAGATCACTTGAACTGGTTAGAAAAGGAGTAGGAATACATATAGAAAGACTAATAGAGGACTGATGTAAAAATAATGAGTGTGTACAAGATTTTTTTAGGCCAGTGAGAGAGATGAGACTGAAATTGGAAGTTAGAGGATATGGAAAGAGTTCTTTTGAATGTGTTAGGGATGAGTACTGGCTCTTACTCCAATCTCCACTTTCTACTAACTGATGTGAATTATTTCTTATTAATTCTTAATGACTTGTGTGTGGTTTCTGCCAATGTATACCTGGCTTCTTCCACTGCTTTAATGCTGAAGTAATGTTTCCAGATGTCTCTGGGGCTCTTAGGTTGGGTGTGCATTTAACATCACCATCCAGTGTTCATCTGTCAGTGTATATGCCCTGGAGATGCCAGTCCTCCTCCTCAATACCTCCATCTCTTTTACTTTTACCATGCAACACTTAATGAACTTTGCAGATTCAGCACTTTCCATTGAACATAATAATTTGCTCTCAAGTATTTTGCACCTCTTTTTCCATTAAAGTTTTATGTTCCTCCTGTGATAAGATCCAGCTTGTGCCATCTTTTCTTGTATCTTGAGCCTCACATCTTTGACACCAGTCTGGAGGTATAGCTTTAAACATTCTCAAACTTTGCTTTGTGTTTTGGCTAGACAGGGGGGTTTATGCTACAACTTTGTGCTGCAATACTGGTCACATATGGTAAGGGATTTGCAAGAGTATGTTACATTGCCAGTCTTGCATATGCCTCTGATGTTACTGAGGTTAATATTTAAAGAAACAGGATTAACATGATGTTCACATTTAGAACTATCTTCGACTGATTCCATAGTTGTCCCTCCTGGTAATATACTTTCCCTAGCACACAGTATTACCAATTTTATTTCTTAGGTTAAACTTGAAAAATCACTCTTATGATCAGTCATGTAACACTGGAACATGTTCAGAACTTGTTACATATTCCTTATGACCTATTGTGTGCCTGTCTTCATAAATTTGGCATCATCCATCATGATAAATATGTAGGAAATTACCCTCATGGACAGGTCATTAAACTATACGTATCTTGGACCTTGTATTAGCCCTTGTGGACTCTTCTTGTTCTTCCCATCCAGATATTTCACCCCTCACTGGGACAGTTGGCCTTCTCTCCTTCTTTTATTCCTTCACCCTATCCTCTTTCCTGCCTAGCCTCTCTCATTCTGTTATAAGTTATTTTATTAGGTTTTAGAAAAATGATTGTCCATTCAAGAAAGTGTGCTGATGGTTTGTGAGGAATTGTTTTTTCTATGTTTTCAAACAGTCCTTCTTCCTTATCCTTTCTGATGCTTTGCATGGAAACGATAATAATCTGTAGTTTAGGACTTCTTTTTGGCTTCCTTTTTTAATGTTGGTATTTCTGTTACCATCTAACAAGCATCTGGCAATTTCTGTCTAGCAGTCCAAGTCTTGGTGAGCCACCTGCATGCAGCTCCTCGTTCTCAATATCCATAGCAGTATTTTGCCCAGTCTCATTGCCTTTCATGTATCAGGCTCCTTCAGGAGCCTTTTTTCTTCATAACCTATCATTTCATTTTTGATAATTCAGTATAGTTTTTCTTCTTTCTACCTCTGGCACTGAGCCTTGACAGCTGTGAAGCTACCATAACATTATCTGATGAATTTCTCACCTATATTTCTAGTGTTGGCCGTGAGTAATCAATCATTCCTGATCCTATATTGACAGAACCCATCTCTTGCTTCCCATTAATAAATTAATTTGCCTTAATTATAATTACAGTACATATTTTATTTGTGTGTGTAATAAATCAGAAGCTGTTGGATGTGAGCACTACACTACGCTTTACTGTTGATGAACTGTTAAGCATAAATTTTAATGTGTCCCGTGGTCATATTATTGTGTAGTCGAATGTGAGATGGGATAACACGTCTGCGAACTTGGTGTTGGCCTCCTTACCCCTTGGAAAGAGTTTTTGCTCTTGAAGGAAATTTGAAATTTGTTAACAAGTAGACTCTCTTCTTGGAATTGAGTGCTCTGGACTCTCTATGCTCTGAGTAAATAAAAAAAATTGTAATGTTATTTTAACTGTGCGTTGCCCTCAGGAATACCTCACCAGCAGAGACTCGGCAGATGGTGAAACGTTGGCTGCTGTACCCATTTGGTTGCGTGCCCTTGATACTTAAGCGTCTAGACGACACCGCTGCCCCCAACAAACCTAACAGGGAGTCAACGATTCGTCAAGTTACCAGAGCTAATTGTCTCAGGTGATCTGGTGAGAAATGCAGAAAATTTTAATTAGTGAATGATGAAACCAGTGGAGTTATCACAAAAACAAGCAATTCTTTTTTAAGGTTTCAGTTGTAATTTTAGAGGATGTAACCTTCTGAGGGTCACAGGCCCTCTCAGAAACTCGTTCTCAGGGTCGCCTAATTTAAAAAAAAATATTTTTTCTTATGAAAAGATAGTATCTTTTCCCGATCATAATAAGAAATATGAATTTGATGGAAAACTTATGGAATTACTTCTCGCAGATTTGCTGTTCGTGTGTTACGCATGCGATTTTGCCAAATTTGAGCCCAAATTTTGCCAATTCCTCTGTACTATAAAATCAACATGAATATTTCGGAAATTCATTTTATTACGAAATTGCAGTACAAAAAACCCCCTTTTAGTTAACTATTCATGTCAGTGGTCAGAATTTATCTTTGCCAATTTCACACAAATTTCAAAAAATGCCATTTCCGAATAGTGTCCAGAACAAACAAGAAATACATTCCTGGCACTAAAATGACATTTTCTTCTGCTCATTAGTCACGTCTCAAGGCCCCTCTTACATTCTTTTGCTTTCCACTTTGAATTTTTTATTCTCACGAAAAATAGAAGATTTACTGTTATGCAGACTACTGCATTAGTGTAAAAAATGATATAAATCATATTGGCGCAATTGCAAAAGAATGTTAGACTCACCAGTTGACGTGTATTGGACGCTTGGCATGATTTGTTTACTTTTGAACTTTGGTAAAAATCGAACATTTCTGCTACTTTGAGCTCAATTTCAAGGTATCTTTTCATTGTAAAACAGTAAAAATCATCTCAATTTCTGTGATATGCATTCCATTCTATAAAATGAGACCAAGAAAACTAGAATACAACAATAAATACCATACGAAAATCCAGTGCAAAGACGCTGTTTTATGCCAAAAAAACGTGAAAGTTTTTTTTTTCTCCTTATGCACTGTGTGCTGCAGGATTTTTTTTATACTGTGCACACTGACCACATAGACCCATTCTTTCATATGGAGGCCTACCAGCCTCTTCCCGCGAGATTTGACGGCGCTAGAATTTATGCGTACTAGTACGTCAAAAACCCCTACGCGTAAGATGTACTAGTACGACCAAAACCCTCAGAGGGTTAAATGAGGAGCAAAGAGGTGTGGTACAGGTCTCCCTCAACATTCGTGTTTTCATCTTTCGCGGGCTTCACACATTCACGAATTCCCAACCGCCAAATTCCCAGTTGCCAAATCATATTTAAGTTTACCGCCACGAGTCCTTACTACCCTCCCTCCGAACCCTGCAACTGGCAGCCAGCCCTCCCACCACTGTGTGGTGAGTGTTTTGTTTGTTCATTATTTGCTATTAAACTACATTATAAATAATGTAAACCCATTTATGACTGCATATTGGAATGGCTATTCGGACAGGTATTGGAAGGTGACATCATGTGTTTACTCTTGAACACAGCAAAGAATCAAACATTTCTACTACTGCTAATAATAATAATAATATTAATATAATAATAATAATAAATACCATAGAATTGAAGAAGGAAATTGTACAAAGATACGAGGGCTGAAGCAGTAGTGGAGGAAGTGGTTGACGCAGCCTCAGTGTGGCTTTGTTTATGCTGGAGTGAGTATTAGTCTCCGTGCTCTTCCAAACATTTCACAATAATTCATTGTATTTGGTGCTTGTAGATTGAGTGTGACTGGAGTGGTTGAGGCAGTGGGTGAGGCAGTGGGTGAGGCAGTGGTAGAGGCAGTGGTAGAGGCAGTGGTAAAGGCAGTGGGTGAGGCAGTGGGAGAGGCAGTGATAGAGGCAGTGGGTGAGGCAGCAGTTGAGGCAGTGGTAGAGGCAGTGGGTGAGAGTGATAGAGGCAGTGATATTTACTAACATATATGTTATAAATTACGTAGAATGAAGGGGGTTAAGAGCGGGAAAATGATGGATCATGACAGAAAGTTAAAAGCAGGGGGGATATATTTGTGGGAGTGGTGGTCTTTTATTAATAATGTATGAAAGAGGGGAAAGGTACCTAGGGATTGGGGAGAGCATGTTAGTCCTTTATAAAAAGGGGAAAAGGGGCAAAAGAGATTGTAAAATTTTAGAGGAATAAGTTTACTGGTAAAACAGGAAAGAATTGGTAGGGTTTTTAATTGAAAGAATTAGAGGTAAGAAGAATGTAGGATTGCGGATGAGCAGGGAGCTTCAAGTGGGTAGGGGAGTGTGGGATCAAGTGTTTACATTAAAGCATAAGGGAAACATATTTAGATAAAGGTAGGGAAGTTTTATGATTTATGGATTTAGAAAAGGCATATGATAGAGTGGATAGTGAGCAATGTCAGATGTTGCAAGTATAGGAATAGGGGTAAGTTACTAATGCTGTAAAGAGTTTTTGAGGATAGTGGGGTCTGGTTAGGGTGTGTAGAGAAGGGAAATATTCTAGTAAAAGTAGGTCTTAGAAGGGATGTTAATGTACATGGTTTTGTTTAATATATTTATAGATGGGTTTGTAAAAGAAGAAAAGGTAGGGTGTTGGAGAGGGGTGGATTAAATTATGGGGAATCAAATTCAAAGGGGAAAATGACAGTAACTTTTTGTGATGTAGTGCTTATGGAGATTTAAAAAAATTGAAAAATTATGGATGAGTTTTGAAAATGTGTGTAAAGTAAAAAGTTTAAGGAAACATAAAAAATAATTGATGATACAAATGATTTAGAAAAGAAAAATTATATCAAATTGGGGAGGAGAGTATGGAAGAAAGAATGTTTTCAATACTTTAGAATTGAGTGTTCGTTCAAATGATTTTAATATATTAATATAAAAATGATGAGGGAAAAAAGTGTGTCTAGGTATATGTGGATCAAAAAAAGTTATCTATGATGAAAAAGGAATGTATAAATTATTTTTACCCACCATTCTTATAGATTGAAGCTTGGGGTGTAAACACAGGGGGAGGTTGGGGAAAAAAGGGGGGAGATGTCTGTCTAGGGCAATGTGTGGTGTAAATTTTGCAGAAAATTTGGAGTGTGGAAATTAGGAGAAGTGTGGAGTTAATAAAGATTAGTAGAGGGCAGAAGAGGGGTTGTTGAGGTGGTTTGGTCATTAGGGAGAATGGATCAAAGTAGAATGAAAAGGAAAAAGCATATAAATCTATAGGGAAGGGAAAGGGGGAGGGGTAGGGGTCGTCCTCGAAAGGGTTGGAAAGAGGTGGTAAAGGAGGTTTTGTGGGCTAGGGGCTTGGATTTCGCAAGCGTGCATGAGCGTGTTAATGGGGTGAAGGAGGCGAATGATTCCGGGACTGACATCTTTTTGGAAGTGTGAGAGGGTAATATTTATGAAGGGATTCGGGAAAAACCCGGTTATGTTCTATGTCTGACTTGAGCCCGGAAAGGGAAGTAAAATGCCTGCACTTTAACCTTCGGGTCATCCGTAGTTCTAGGGCTTTGCGTTCAGTGTCCAACCGTAGATCTACGTAAATGAGTCAGCCACTCTGATAAACTGTGATGGTCCCACTTGGGCTAGATAGGGAGGAATACATCTTGTGGTTGTGTGAACCACATTAAAAAAATCTGCAGCACACTGTGTATAAGGGAAGAGAAAAAAACTAAAACCCAAGATTTTCGATTAAAACAGAACTTTGCTGTTTTTTCGTATGTTTTTTATAGTTGTATTTGCAATTTCTTGGTCTCATTTGATAGAATGGAAGACATTTACAGAAATAGAGATGATTTTGATTGGTTTTAGCATCGGAAATGGCTTGAAACTGAGCTCAAAGTAGCGGAAAAGTTAAATTTTTGTCGTGTTCAAGAGTAAACAAACGACCCCACACTCTAATACACGCCAGTGGTGGATCTAATACACATTCACAAATGTTGGGGATGATATTTTATACAATTATTACAATATTGCATAACAGTAAATCTTCTTTTTTTTGGTGTGAATAAAAATTCACTATGTAAATAAAAAATAAAAATGGGATTTATTTGTAAAGCCCCAAAACGTAACTAATGAACCGAGGAAATGTTAGTTTAGTGCCAGGAATGCCTACATTGTTTATTCTGGATGCTATTTTGAAATTGGAATATTTTGAACTTTGTGTTAAATTGGCCAAATTACCAATTTCCGATCACTTTATTTTGTAGTTGAAACAGTTGACTTGGCGATTTCTTGTGCTCAATCGATAGAATAGAAGTAATACTAGTGAAATAGCTAAGAATTTGGTCGACTGGAATGATGTAATTGGCCTAAAATGGAAGTCAAAGTCAGCAAAATCGCCGATTCGTAAATATCGCTGACACATCAAAATTCGTGAGAGCATAATTTCATCAATTTTCCATCAAATTTCGTACTTTTTGTTTTATTACCTTCGCAAAAAGATTCTCTACCATTTCATAAGAAAAAATAACAAATTTTTTTTTTTAAAATTCTTGGACACTGGGGCACCACTTCAGATTTGGGCCTTGGACCTTGAAAGGGTTAAAGGAGGGGTTTGGGATATTGGCGGTTTGGAGGGATATGTTGTGTATCTTTATATGTATATGCTTCTAAACTGTT